TTACTATAATTACCCTGGCCAAGTAACTTATTATAACATTATTAAGCACTCACCAACTCTCCCAAGAACTCATATAAAATGGTAACAACATAATAAAATGTTCACTTTATTTGGTTTTGTTGTAATATGTTCTAATTAAACAATAATTAAAATAAAATATTCTTGTCACTGGTACTTAAAAAATTCTTAAAATGATTAATTTACAAATCAGCCAATCACACGAAAGTCTCTATGAATATGACTGTATATGGTTGGATAATTACATCTTGATATAGAACCGGGGTCGGAGATCAGCAGATCACTGGTCCGGAAATCACATGATCGGACAATTCCCCTGCATTCTGATACAGCTTATGGGGTATTTGAGAAGAAATATGGGGACCTGGAAATTTTTCTGCGAGTAATCATGTGATCTGCAAATGTAGTGACTCCCTTTACATCGGCAGACATCTTGAAAGTTTTATTCTTTGGCTAAACAATGTTTTATTACCACTTAAAATTTGAATTATACGTTCCAATACAAGAAAATTATAACAAAATTGATAACATTAATAGCGTTAACAAGCAATTACAATCAAAAAAGCCAAAGAGACATATAATAAAACAATCTGAATTATATTACGTCCCAACAGATCTTTTTGCCTCGCTTCCTGTCCATTCAAAGTCATATAACAGCAACAATAATAATAGTAGTTCGCGTGAAGAAGCTTTCAATTCGAAAAACAAAGAAAAATCAAGAGAATCAGCCTCATTTTCTAAACCCCGTACTCCTGTAGTAGCCGAAAAATTGCCAGCAATACCACCAACTCCAGTTCCTGACCTTAACAAGGGTGATCTAAGTAAAAGCCGAGCTTCAGAGTGGAAATCCATCGGGAAGTGGGGAACAACAGCTGTTCTTTCTTCTGTTCCAGCAAATAATTCCCCTGAAACCAAATCGCTTGATAAAACCAAAGATTTTCGATTTGGTGCGATATTTTTAGAGTGGTTTACCGAAAAAAGCCTAAAAATGAGCGAAGAGCAAGAACATCCCACGAAAACTATACCGCAAAATTCAACTGGACAAAGTTCAGACAGTTTACCGCCTTCGAATTCTACAGCACACCCAACTAGTTCTACACTTGCAGAAATAAATGGTCAAAACCCCAAAAATGTAACTAGCTCCATTACAAGACCGGTAGCACAATTTTTGCCAATCGAACCGAATAGAACGAATCTTGGCTATGGGATATTACACTTGTATCGTGATCCAAAAGAAATCCCACAGTCAAACGAAACAAATTCCTCTTCTCAGGAGACGATAGGAATTAATGGCAAACAGGTTTCTAATTCGGGAGCAAGTGGCAACGAATCCTTTAATCTAGAATTAAATGGGCAGAATCTGGATTTGAGTGATAAAACAATATTGGCTGTATTAGCTGTGCCAGTTTCTTTTAGTGCGTCTGATTTCTTAGGATTTGTCGCACCAGTGCGAAAATTTGTCAGCCATTTTAGGATGATTAGGGATTCAGCATTAAATAAATATATGGTTTTGATGAAATTCCGAACTGCGCGTTCTGCCAATGATTTTTATAATAATTATAACGGACGTGCGTTTACTTCAATGGAGGTGAGATTGATAATGTGTAATTCCTTATTCTTTTTAATGTAATCAAACTGATAAGTTTTTCTTATTTCACGTGTAAATAGCCCGAAATATGTCATGTGGTTTATATTAAGTCGATCGAATTCAAACCAACTTCCACTCCAGCAAATGAATTTTCATTTCAACATGATCCTTTTTTATCATCGCTACAACAAACAGACACCAATTCCATGCTGCATGAGCTTCCCACATGTCCTGTCTGTTTGGAAAGAATGGACTCTAATGCAACAGGACTGCTGACTATTCAATGTCAACATACTTTCCATTGTAAATGTTTGAGTAAATGGGGTGATAGTAGGTACGTGTATTAGAGATTCCACTATTGTTAGTGACTTCCTGCCTGGGTAAGGAATTCTGTCAATTCATAATTAATAATGAGATCTCTCAATAATAGTGAAAATATTCAATCATTATTGGATCTTCTTTTGTAAAATAGTTGTCCGGTTTGTCGGTATAGTCAAAAACGGGAAACTCTCGAATTCTCGCAAAATGAATGCGGTGTTTGCGGTTCTACGGAATCATTATGGATGTGCATCTTGTGCGGAAACGTTGGATGTGGACGTTATCAAGGTGCACATGCTTATTATCACTATAAAGAGACTCCAACACATTTATATGCTATTGAATTAGAAACACAAAGAGTATGGGATTATGCTGGAGATGGGTGAGTGACAGCAAGGAATTATTATTTTCTCCCGATCTCAATCGGGACTTGATTTAATTTGTCGATATTTTATAGATATGTTCATCGGTTAATTCAAAATAAATCGGATGGGAAACTAGTCGAGCTTCCAAGTCCGAACGCGCCCGCACTAATGCAAAGTCAATCTGTTGTAAATCAAGTCAGCATTTTTATTAATATCCGAGGAATTCTTGTTGTACCAGAGTTATTTTATCTTTAATTAATTATTATACTTACATAAACAGGATAAAGTGGACCAAATCGAATTAGAATATAGTCACCTTCTTACAACACAGCTTTCATCACAGAGAACTTTTTACGAAGAAAAACATTCTACATTCACGCTTCAATTGTCATCATTAAGTAGTCAGGTTCAAAAGTTAACAGATGAAGTTGCCAATTTGAAACTCGACAATGAAAAATTAAAAAACGAAAAAGAATTACTCGAGACCCAACAAATACCAAATCTATTAAAAGAGAAAATTGCAATCGAAAAAAAATTAGTAAAATCCCGAGAAAGGATTGATAAAGTCGAAAAAGAATGGAAAGAGGAGAAAGAGGTGAGTATATTCTATTGTATTCTTATATTTCCTACTCTGATCAATCTCATTCTTCTTGATTAAATAGATGGGGAGATCTTTAGCTGCAAATCAGCAGCACCTTCAGGAACAACTCGCAGCTAAAGATACAATAATCCAAGATTTGGAGGAACAAGTAAAAGATTTAATGTTCAGTTTAGCTTATCAAGATAAAATGAAAGAGAATCCAGAATTAGCAGGTGGACAGATAGTTGTTGCTGAGAATAGCAATACTGCTGTGACTGGTGGGCGTAAGAAAAAGGGAAAAAAGTAGTTAATTAATTAATTAATTATATAATGATTTTATTTTGCTGGTGTTCATTATTGTAATCACAATTGTAAGTTTATTAAAATATAGTAAAATAATGTTCTGCTTCAACTTCAATGAGGCATATATTAAGGCCTTATTAATGTACAGCGATCTTGTTTATCTTTGTATTGGATCGGATTTTCGTGTATCATCACTATATACAACGCATATAATGCAAAGCATTATCTGGTATCTCAAAGTAAACGCTATATCTTTAAAAAAAGGGAATTATGACACATAAAAACGTTAAATTAGAAGATGAAAAAATGGGAGAAGTAAGTGTTAGTAGTGTATTGGGTCCAGTTTGGTTCTTGTTTGGTAGGTATTATATATATTAGTAGAATATCTCCTAGGGTCAATGTATTTGTGTAGGAGGAAAGTTAAGGGTAGAGGGAATATTTGGGACGGGTTGTTTCTTGGTTGCTAATAATTAGTGTGAAGTTTTAATTATTTATGTCATTAGATTTTAGATTGAATCTCAAAAGTTTTTAATCTTTATAATAATGATTAGAGTAAAATATTGATTCAATTATTTGTCAATAATAATAAAATCAACAATAGACGTATTCGTTGGAGCAATACAACTCTTAAAACCAATATTTTCAATAACACTCGCAATTTTCATCGCATGGTCCTCATTAAACTTTGTCTCTCACACATTTCAAAACGACGTCACACTATTCGTATGTCGTTTCCCATTCTCAAGCATTGTCCCATTATGTCAATCGCCGATTCCTGATTTCTCGCGTCTAGTAACACGACAAGTAGAAACCTACGAGCAAATAATGGATCAAACAATGTCCCAGTCGGGATTGACCTCTTCATTGGCACTAGATATTAAGAAAGCAGAATTAGCAACCGGAGATCTTCGTACTTTGGTAAAGTATTCATCATTGACTTGTGCACCAGAGTTGGTGGATCGGTTGAATGAATTTGTGGATAAGTCACGTGTGGTGGGTAGAAATTTGCAAGTGCTGCAGGCTCGTACAAGGTCTTCCGTGGATAATCTGATTACGTATAATTTATTTGCGCTGAAAGCGTTAGAAAATGTTCGAGATCATAAAGTTAGTTCAAAAGAATTGGCTCAGGCTTATGATCAGATGATGGGATTAATGGAGGGGGATCTGAAGCGTATGATTCTTGTTGGACAAGAGATTCTCGGAAGGTATTTAACAAAAATACGGTTTCATATAATGCACAAATTTTAATGACATTGAATGTTTCAATAGTCTCACCGATCTTGACGCAATGCTCGCCGGAATCCACGAATTGACCGCACAAGAAGCCTCACTGCAAAAATTCGAGCGTCATAAACTATTGGCCGAATTATGGTCTTATCTAGGAGGCAATCGCGTCAGAAGACACATATTCCAAGAAAATCTACAACTGCTTCAAGATTTAGACAAACAACGACGTCATGCAGTCGCACAAATACAAACAACTCTCTACAGTTTGACTTCATTTCAACTAGATCTCGAAGAATTACGCGAACAGGTTCTGAAACCTTCGTTAATTAATATGCCAATCGAGGTTCATATAGAGAATGTAGGAAAGGGAATTGAACGATTAAAGAGTAGTAAAGTGGCTATTAAAAGTATGGACAATGAGCCGGCAAAGCAAAAGAGTATTGATACATGAATTGAAGTATGTAATTATTAAAATATCGATAGATTTTTTTTTGGTTAATTTATTATTACGTGAAAACAAGACTCACTTTTCGTTGGGGTATTCGGTGGACTATGTAGATCAAATTTATGTATAGTCTCATATAAAAATGATTAGAACAAATTTTCGTGTAACATATACGACAATCTATATGAAATACATATATTTTTAAGAAAAAGCTCTCTATACATTAAAATATAGTATTTGTTAAATATCTGAGCAAAATTTCTAAACAAGCTAATTTTTTATAGTCTTTTATATAAAATTATCATATTTCAAATTATATCTTCTCAATAATTTACATATTAACTTGTTTGGAAATTTTGCTTAATTATTTAATAGATTCAATTAAAGTTATTAAATTTTTGTTAAAAATATATATATTTTATATAGATTTTCATATAGATTGTTATATAAATTGTTATATATGTTATATGAACATTTGGTTTAATCATTTTTCATCAAATATCACAATTTTTCATGCATAATAGGAATTTATCAAAGCAAGAAATTAAAAAAGAACAATGATAATTTACATATTAGTTTATCAAGATTTATTAATAATTCAGTAACTTATATATTATATAACAATTATGAAAAGATATTGCTTCATCTTAATAAATAAAAATGTTTAATTCTAAAAAGATCACTCATTTATAAAGCATTGCATTGAAAATAAAAGAAAAAATTAATATTTAGTAAAGCTAAAATCAAGATAATATATTTCAATTTTAAAATATTACTACTCAATATAAAAACAAAATTTAACCAGTAATTTTTGTTCTTTATAATTAGTTCTATAAAGTTATTAATCAAATTTTATTTGTAAATAATAGCATTTTAAAATTAAAATATATTATCAATTTAAAAGTTTTTGTATTATAAAAGAAAATTCTCAATATCTTGCTTAAAATATTATATAATTAGAATTATTACAATAAAAAAATATTTATTTATTAGAAAACAATAAGAATTTAAAAATTATATAAGATATTTTAGATTATCATTAATAATTTTTATATTTTTAATTAATTATATTTTAACTTAGTGAATTATTGAAACAGTTTATAAATTCTTGCATTTCAAATATAGTCAAATCTCTCTATAGTCATGCCTGTTTATAGTCATATCTCTCTATAGTTACCTTATTTTGCTTTCCTATTTACATATAAATATAGCAAAAAAAATCTCCTCTATAGTCACATCCTCTCTATAATCACCAAATTTTGCTTTTCTAAAAGTGATGACTATAGAGATATTTGACTGTACAAATTTTACAAATAAATTATAACAATATATTTCTAAATAAATCACATTAATTCAAATATCAAAATAATTATTAATTTAAAAAAAACTATTGTTATTAATTTAATATAATAAATATATTGTCATTATTTTACTTAATTTTCAAAATACTATATCTTTTTACGTGCTTCATCAGCAAATTTCTGATACGGTTGGAAATCGATTGCCAACCATATTCATTGGCAATCGATTACCAACACCC